CGTAAGCGTATGCGCGCGCGCGCGCGCGCGCGCGTGTGTGTGTGTGTGTGTGTGTGTGTGTGCGAAAATGAAAAAGAGTTGGGATGAATGGAAGGGAACGAGAGTGAGAGAGGGGAGAGGAAATGAAAAAGCGTGAACCATAGGAAAAAGCCAATCGCTATTTTAGCACTTTTTCAATCGTGTCGTACGTAATTTCTACGCCATTAAGATTTTCCGTCGGGTTTCGGTTTAATTAATCAACGACGTCGGCGAGATCGATTCTCGAGAGGAAGTAAGATTTAACGGATGCGATGAAAGTCTCATCGGGCTATCATTTGCCGTTCGCGTCTAATTATTCGTTCTTTCTCTCGTCGATCTCGATCGAAATTGCTCGCGACCGATGTTCGTGAAAAATTTCGATCCGATACGTCACTTTGCGTTGTCCCATCTTCGCCCCAGTCGATCGTCAGGATCGTTGAAGCATCGCGTGTTATTTCTCGCCTACTCGGATCCTCTCGGACATAACGCACTTCATCGGGCGGCAGTGTCTCCGTTTCAGGGTTCTCAGAAGAGAGGGATCGATCGTCTTTCAATGACGGGGGGGGTACCCTCGGGTACCCGGCGGGTGGTACACCGTGAAGATATTAACTGTCAGTGCGCACGCAGCAATTGCGACAAGCGCGAGTGGCGCATTCTCATTTTTCACCGACAGGTAGGACTTAGGTAGGCTACTTAGGACACTTAGCGGTTATCACTTTTAGGAGCCATACTGTACCTACAAACGCAGTGTATACATATATATAGCGTATATGAAGTAGAATTAATATCGGGTCTAGCCGTTAAGATTTCTCTAGCTTTCTTAGAGATAATAAGTTCATTGTGAACAGCAATCAGATCTGATCCAGGTGCCCCGCGGTCACGAGCCACGTGTGTACAATTCTAATCGTCTCTGCGATTGTCAATCTCGCGTCTGACGACGCGACTTCCGTGATAACATGAGGCCTCTCATCGACGGAGCGTAGAAAAAAAAAAAAATAAATAATGATTTATTCCATCCTTTTATAACCCACTTTAAAGAATTAATTTAAACTAAATTTTCTAAATTTTTTGAATATTTTTTTCAACGTGGAAGCTGAACAACGAATTAGATCGTCTGATTGAACTTTAACTCGAAGAAAAGTCAGTCATGTTCCACATGATCCGAGAACCATTTAAAACGCTATGAAATATATTAATCAAAATTTTTCAAATTTTGATGGAATTATTGGTAGCACAAACACATACGCACACATATAAATGCATATATAATATATAGATTTATATATTATATATAATAACTTAATATATCATTAATATTCTATATATAATATATATAATATTTAAATTTATGCTTAGATTATATGTTAACTATCGTTAATTGGAATAATTAATTACTATTAATTATATATTTAGCATGCGGTTAGCAGAAGAATAAATGTTTCATTTTACTTTAAAGTTAGAACAAGGATGATCACACATTACGTTTGAAATCATTCAGATTCCGAGTCTGCAATTTTTTTTAATTATTTCATCTATATTGCCAGACGAGCGCGGATATTTCAATCGCATATATTTTACTCCTATATATTTCTGTTTGTTTTCATGATTCCTGTTATATGCAAAGTTATGGAATGCATGCAATAATCAGATTAAGCAAAGCTGATGGCAAAGAGAAGACCGAAACAAACGGACGGTATTAAAGAATGAAAATGGTTATTCAAACATTGCTACGTGGGCGCCCTTCGCTTTCTAACTTTTTCCATTCTCTCGCGGTTTATATTCGTAAACAAGTATCGTTTTAGAACGATTCGTCTACAGACAACGTCCTATTATCTCTGAAGAATCGGATTTATATCGACGTTACCCTTACAGAGGGGGAAATATTTAAAAAAAAATGAATAAAAATCAAAATATTCCTCTGACCAAATCACAATTGAATTCTATGAAGGGAAAACATTTTCCGAATTTTATCGCGCGTAGTTTTTAGAGTTAAAAAAAACTATCGCGTTTCGCAAATAAAAGACACGAGAACGTAGCCGGACAAATGTTCGAATATTCTATTATTTTCGATTTGCCTGACGCAAACAACGTCGAGGGATTCGATAATTATCAGAGCATCCCCAAACATCGTTAGTAACCCCGACTGCCTCCGTTCGAACCGCTCTCTCTCTTTTGCCCTCCCTCTCTTGCCAAACATTATGCGCGGCATTTAATGAGATTGATGCAATCGTCCGATGCATTTAATCCTGCCAATTTACATTGCGCCCTAATATCGTGCACGAGTATTCCGCTAATGGAGTCGCTAATGAGAAACAGAAACATTCTCCTCACTCGTTGTTGTTTTCGATAGATTAGACAACCACCAGCAGAAAATTGGAAACCGACCATCCCCTTTCAAAAGAAAATTCGCACTTTATTTGCACGCTGTCCGTTTGATTTTTGTACCAACGAAAATTACGTTGGTACAAAATATTGACCACACTCAAGAAGCGAATTATTTTACGTAATATAATAAGCCCGAATCAAATTTTCACAGGAAACTTAATTTATAAAAAACACTTACAACATAATAATTGTTCTCCCTGTTTCTTTTCGTTCGCTTTTTTTTCCATAATTGACAATGAAATTGAAATAATTCGCAAAATTTCAAAAAAAGGTATTGCTACTCATTTAAAAAAAAATGAAACAAATCAGACAAGAGAGAATTCTCAGCAACTTGCAAAGCTTTAGTATCTTCCGTCAGCAATCTTGGGACTTTGAGGATCACTGCAGTTTTCGTCGCAATTTTATTGTCCTAAACTGTATAAATGTCTGAAAAAAAATTTTCATACATTTGCGACATTTTTTAATTAACACATTTCTTCCTATCGTAAACATTTTTTTTTAGAAAAAAAACATTCGTACGTCAGTTCTAAAATTTATAATCGAAGAATCGAACGTGCCCCTCAAAGTGCCCCCAGCTTGCCGATGAAGGGGATAGACATATACAGCTTCGTTCAGCGAAACAAGTTCGGAAGTTGTTTCGCAAACAACTAACGCCAATATTTTCGTTCGGAGCACCAA